GTCTGAATAAAGACGAAAGCTAAGGTACTCCATTGTTTCTTTTTCCTGTGTGATTTTATCAAGATTTATCTTATCCACGTTTCCATTGTGATTTATATGAAGTATATATATATATATATATATATATATATATATATATATATATATATATATATATATATATATATATATATATATATATATATATATATATATATATATCGTTTCTCACTCTTGATTTGTTTTTGTTTCTCCATTTCTCTATTTATTCATGGTTCAATGAATTTTTTCTTTCGTCCCCAAGGCCCTATTGTGGATCGGTGACCTGTGCCCTGGTGGGCTAATCCCTCCCCACCCCCCCAAATGGCTATGAGAGAATCATCGCGTCTCTGACAACAACTTAGTTCACACTAACAGGTGTGCCTACTCGACTGTAGGCAACAACAACAATAAAAACGGAATTTTACAAGGAAAAATTTGAATATGATAAACCCTAAAGCAGTCACGAAACAAGTTATCCCCCATAGGAAACAAAAAATTACTTGGAGAACAATTCATTGGGTTCAGGGAAATAGAGTAAGTGACTTACATGTTAGTATATTTAGCTTGCGTTTGCTAAGCCACTCCATTTGATGGCGGTAGATGTGACTACGAATACCTCCCTTACAAATATTTTATACCATTGCGATAATAATATTTACATCGTGGTGATGAAAGATGCAAAGGACTAGGAATATTGCCGTAACACATACATGTAATGTAAGCGAACACACATTTGCCACGTACACGAACACTTATTTGCCATGTACACAAACTCACACTTACCACATACACTAGCATAGACTTGTCACGTATACGAAAATACAGTTGCCCCCCCCTCCCCCCCTCATACACACACACTGTACAGTCAACAGCAGAAGTTTGCCCCAATCCAATTGCATGAAATGAGGCAAATAATCTGGTAACACTGTATGGGAAAGCGTTGACAGATATGCTTTAGATTACTAGTTATCTAAGATTAATGATCAGCGATTGCCCAAGAATACATTTCTTGGTTATAAATTAAATAGTTCATGTGTAAAATGCAGGAATATAATGTTATTAAGAAATATGACATTGCTGTAGGTTGGTTCATGCTTGATATTTCCATCATCAAATAATGTGATATTGTAGTGGACGTCTCCCCTACAACTGCGTAGCCGCATGCCACCTGCTACGTCTTCCCTAGCAACCAAACTAGCGGCCCAGGGGGGGCGTCACCAGATGCCACAGTATCCTAGCAACTGAGTCAAAAGACCGGGGTTTCCCACGGGTGACTCACGGCTGCTGTGTATATAAGCTCTGTCTCTCCATTGAGATTCATTCTGGCCTCTCTTCTTGAACACGCAACACCTCCTCCTCCGCCGCTGCCTGGCGGCCCTCGCTTCTCCTCCGCCTGCCTGGCGGTCTTCGCTCCCGCCGGCGAGCATGGCGACCCACCAGCTGTCCTTCTCTGAGCGTCCTCACCAACCAGCTCTCTCATTCTGCTCTCGGTTCCTGAACACGCAACACCTCCTCCAAGCAAGCTCCTCGCTGTCCCGTTCTCATTCAACCTGGAGGCCAGCAACAGGCAACATCTTCTCTAACGAAGCTCCTGCACATCTACCTCCTTCAACACGCTACTCACCGAACGTGTCTACTGAGCAGCTCCTCACCACACGGCACCTCCAGCACCAGACTGTCTACCATATAACTTATATTATATAAGAAAACCACCTTAGAGTTTCCATCCATCCTGAGTGCTAGACAACATTATATCACGAAACCCTACAATATATTTCTCAATAACACCATTTCTTACATTTTGAACATTTAAACTATTTATGTTATATACAAGAAATATATTCTTAGTCAATCTTCGATCACGATTCCTAAATAACTCGCCAATTAAAGCATATTTGTCAACTCTTCCCTATACATTGTCACCAGATCACTCGCCTCATATCATGCAAGTGGGTTGGGACAAACTTCTGCGGCTCTTTTTGTCTCGGAAGTGTTATCAAAATTCTTCGCCCATTGTGCCATTACTAACACACTATTGTGAAGCTACGTTTTTGTGTGTACACTTACTAGGCACACAATGGCAACGAACAGTAAACACACACTAACCATGTACACTGAGCACTCATTAACCAGCTTTGGCACGACAACTATACACACACACACACACACACGCTCTCCCCAAGAGATAGAACTATGAGGCCTATAGTCGTTAGTAGAATCTGCATTAACAATCAACATTCCGGAAGTTGAAACAAAGAACAGCGAACAGAGAAAAAGAATAGTGATGAACAGTGAAAGATGTGAATGAGTGATGATAGACAGTGAAGAACAATTGAAGTGAAAAAAAATACCTTTTTGCACTTTACTCCCACTACATTTCAGTTTATTTTGAACAGAGTTCAAAACTCGAAAAAAATTATCATTCTAATCAGTTTCATAAAAAAGGACATGCTTCATAACAGTGAATCAATAGGGCAAATATTGATAACACTGATATACTAATATATACACGGTAACATTATCGAAAACGGAATACCGTACTGCTAGAAGACTGTTTGAGAGCTTTATGGGTTCGAATACCGCCGATACCCATATTCATACCTACGGTAGACTATGCTTGTTGGTGATCTGTCGGTGTAATATCTGCAAGTTTGTCGAGTAATCTGATGGAATGTCGATTTACAATGAGATGGTGTCAAAAGTTAAGACTCAGTGGTATAATGCAAAATACTTTCGATATATTATGAATTTCCGTGGAAGTAAAGTGCAAAAAGGGGTAGTTAAGATGGTGAAAAATATTAAAAGATTGAAGAACTGAGAAAGTGACTGTGAAGAGAGAAACAGTGAAAAAAGAGAAGAACAGTGAGAGAGTGAAATACAATGAGTTCAGAAGATAGTGAAAGACTGATTTATAGTGAATAGTGAAAAACAGTGTACAACAGATAGGAGCAAAAAGCACAAATTGAAAATAAGAAACGTACAGTGAAAGACAACGTAGAAAATGGAAGACAATGGAGAAACAATGGAAGGCAATGTAGAATAATGGAAGACAACGGAGAAATGGAAGACAATGGAGAAATGGAAGACAACGGAACAAATGTAAGTCAACGAAGAAACAATGGAAGACGATGGAGAAAATGGAAGACAACGGAGAAATAGCAGACAACGGAGAAATAGAAAAGAAACATAATAGGTATAATAATGGAAGACAACGGAGAAGAAGGCAATGTAGAATAATGGAAGACAACGGAGAAATGGAAGACAATGGAGAAATGGAAGACAACGGAACAAATGTAAGTCAACGAAGAAACAATGGAAGACGATGGAGAAAATGGAAGACAACGGAGAAATAGCAGACAACGGAGAAATAGAAAGCAACAAAGAGACAATGGAAGAATAGAGAACAGTAAAGAACAGTGAAAAACCGTGAATAACAGGGAAGAATAAGTGAAGAAACATGAATAACAGTGAAAATAAGAGACAAACGATGAAGAAATAATGAATAATCAATCAAATATATAACTTTGAAATATGACGAAAGATTGAAGTCCCCCCAAAATGTGAAAGGAAGTGAAAGATGAAGAAAAACAATGAAAAAAAGTAAAAAAAAGTGAATAGCAGTGAACAATAGTGAATAGCTGGAAGTGAATAACCGTGAAGTATTGAATAAAAGTGGAGGTGAATAACAGTGGAAGGGAAGTAAATAATAGTGCATAGTAATGAATAACAGTGGAAGGGAAGTGAATAACAGTGAACAGTACAGTAGTGAAGAACAGTGGAAGGACCGTGAATAACAATGGAAATTCAGTCAGTAACAGTGGAGAAACAGTGAATAACAGTGAGCAGTAGTGAATAACCGTGAACAGTAGTGGAAGAGCAGTGAAGAACAGTGAAGTACACAAGCGAACGGTTGTATCTTATTGTTAATTACTTACATTGGTACCAAAGCTTAGAGAGAGAGAGAGAGAGAGAGAGAGAGAGAGAGAGAGAGAGAGAGAGAGAGAGAGAGCGTATAAAAGCCACAGTCATTTTCGTTCTTACGTGCAAAGAAAAATACCTCCTCCTCCTCCTCCTCCTACACTTCCAAATTCTTTGCCTCCTCCTTCTCTTTCTCCTATTCTTCCTCCTACTCTTACTATATTCGTCCTACTAGATAGTAAGAGTGTACCCATACCGGAACACTCAGCATGTTAACTTTGTGATAAACCTTTAAAGCATGCATCTGAACATTATATAATAGAATGTGACAGTTTTCAAGACTTCACTCCACCTGACTTGTATCATGAACTATGTTATTACTACATTGAATAAGGAGTCCTTAGGGACTTCATTCTTACAGCCAATCCTAAATCTGACTAATCCTCAAATACCGTAGAATATAACACTATTGAATATGACCTATACAGTACTATTGTCTCCTTTGGGTATAAATGTTGTTAAACTAAACTTCCTAATTTTCATCTTTCTCATCCTCCTTCCCCTCCTATTGTGATTCATCTTTTTTCCACGTCCCCCTCCTCCTATTCTTCCTATTTCTCATTTTCCTCTTCTAATACTCTATCTGTGACAATGGGGTGATAGTGGGGGAGGGGTGATGGTGGGGGAGGCCATACCGTGCATGTGAGGGTGATGGTGGGGAGGACATACCGTGCATGTGGGGGTGGGGTGTGATAGTGGGAGGAGGGTGGGGGAGGTGTGCATGTGGGGAAGGGAAAAAGGGTGATGGTGGGGGAGAGGAGAGTTGATGGTGGGTGAGGGGTGGAGAGAGGTGGGAGGTCTTACCGTCCATGTGTGGGGATGGGGGATGGGGTAGGGAGGTGGTGATGGTGGGGAGGGAGATGGGGATGGTAATGGTGGGGGAGGGGTGATGGGTAATGATGGGGGATGGGTGGTGATGGTGGGGGAGGGGTGATGGTGGCGGAGGCCTTACTGTGCACGTATGGGGGAGGGGAGAGTGGTGGTGGTGGGGAAGGACTTACCGTGCATGGGTGGGGGTGGGGGGAGGGGTGGTGGTGGCGCTCCAAGCTCCACTCCAGAGCCCTCCAGCCTTGGTAAGGAGGAATCGTCATCGTCCTCCATATCAACCTGTAAATAGTGATCATCATCAACATTATAACAAACAATATCATTATCATTATCATCACTCATTATCATCATCAATGTCAACATTATCAACATCACCATTGTCATTATCAAATTAGCATCGTCATCATTATCATCAATAGCATATCACCACCATCTATTCTTCTTATTATTGTTACTCTCATAATCATCACTGTTATCATCACTCTTTGTTGTTATCACCGTCATCATTTTTGGTGTAATTATCATTATCATTTTCATATTTAATCATCAACATTACCTTTGTCATCACTATCATTGTTACCACCATTACCATTATCGTTAAGGCGGCGGCACACTGAGCACTTTCCTCCCAACATGTTGGCCGCTTTTGCTGGCCGCTGGCCTGACGGCCCAGCATGATTTCGGATGTTGCGAAAAATGGACAATGGTTTGACGGCGAGCTTTGATGGTAGGGTTAGTTCTCAAATGAGCTTCATATTGGGTGTTGAATATTTAAGCAGAAATTGAAATAAATCATAAACCAATAATAATTTAAAACATAACTAATAAAACGGTGACATGTTTTTATTTATTCGTCACTTTAAAACTTCTTTAGTATTATTAAATCAGTATTCAGGGTGCTCTTTGACCTGCCAGCCGCCGCCACTTGTAAAGAAGCTTCACAACGCATCCACTGTCTTTTTTTTTTGTTTTAGCATTTGCAGACGCTTTACTTGCTTCAGCAAATTAAGAACTGTAGCACAATCCTGCAAGGCCTCAACTGGAGTAACAGGATCCATGGCGAACCTCGTCTAGACGCCTTGTTGTTATTTTCGTTGCGTTGGGCAGACGCGCCGACAAAAATATCCCAGTGTGATGCAAATGTCTCTTTGTTTTGCTGGCCGGACAGTGTTGGCCCAACATGTTGGGCGGAAAAGTGCCCAGTGTGCCACCGCCTTTAGTTTCATCATAATCATCATTGCCATAGTAATCATGATCATCATTAACGTTATCATCATCATCTTGACCATTAATATCATAATCATTAGCAGCATCATTATCATCATCATCATGGGTTAGTGTGGGTTAGTGAGGGCTAAGTGGATTAGAGTGGGTTAGTAAGGGTTATGTGGGTTAGTGTGGGTTAGTGAGGATTAGTGTAGGTTAATGCAGGTTACTGTGGGTTAGTGTGGGTTTGTGAGGGTTGGTGTGGGTTAAGCGAGGGCTAGCGTGGGTTAGTGTGGGTTAGTGAGGGTTAGTGTGGGTTAGTGAGGGTTAAGTGGATTAGTGTGGGTTAGTAAGGGTTATGTGGGTTAGTGTGAGTTAGTGAGGGTTAGTGTAGGTTAATGTTGGTAAGTGTGTGGGTTAGTGAGTTGAGTGTGGGTTGGTGAGGGTTGAGTGTGGGTTGAGTGTGAGTTATCCGAGCGTCAGTGTGAGGTTATCTGAGAGTCAGTGTGAGTTATCTGGTGTCAGTGTGAGTTATCCAGCGTCAGTGTGAGTTAAGTGTCAGTGTGAGTTATCCGAGCGTCGGTGTGAGTCATCTGAGTCAGTGTGAGTTATGTCTGAATGTGAGTTATCCGAGCGTCAGTGTGAGTTATCTGAGAGTCAGTGTGAGTTATCTGAGTCAGTGTGAGTTATCTGAGTGTCAGTGTGAGTTATCCGAGCGTCAGTGTCAGTTATCTGAGAGTCAGTGTGAGTTATCTGAGTCAGTGTGAGTTATCTGAATGTCAGTGTGAGTTATCTGAGTGTAAGTGTGAGTTATCTGAGCGTTAGTGTGAGTTATCTAAGCGTCAGTGTGAGTTATCTGAGAGTCAGTGTGAGTTATCTGAGAGTCAGTGTGAGTTATCTGAGTGTCAGTGTGAGTTATCTGAGTGTCAGTGTGAGTTATCTGAGTGTGGTGTGAGTTATCTGAGTGTCAGTGTGAGTTATCCGAGTGTCAGTGTGAGTTATCTGAGTGTCATAGTGAGTTATCTGAGTGTCAGTGTGAGTTATCTGAGTCAGCGTGAGTTATCTAAGCGTCAGTGTGAGTTATCTGAGAGTCAGTGTGAGTTATCTGAGTCAGTGTGAGTTATCTGAGTGTCAATGTGAGTTATCTGAGGGTTAGCGTGAGTTATCTGAGTGTCAGTGTGAGTTATCTGAGTGTCACTGTGAGTTATCTGAGTGTCAGTGTGAGTTATCTGAGCGTCAGTGTGAGTTATCTGAGTGACAGTGTGAGATATCTGAGCGTCAGTGTAAGTTATCTGAGTGACATTATGAGATATCTGAGTGTCAGCGTAAGTTATCTGATTGTCTGTGAGTTATCTGAGTGACAGTGTGAGTTATCTAAGTGTCAGTGTGAGTTATCTGAGTGTCTGTGTGAGTTATCTGAGCGTCAGTGTATGAGTCTCATCTGGCGATCGTCAGTGTAGCCAGATTTATCTAAAGCGTCGAAGTGTGAGTTATCTGAGAGTTGAGTGTGAGGTTATCTGAGGAGTCAGTGTGAGTTATCTGAGTGTCAGTGTGAGTTATCGAGTGTCAGTGTGAGTTATCTGAGTGTCTGTGTGAGTTATCTGATAGTGTGAGTTATCAGTGTGAGTGAGCGTCAGTGTGAGTTATCTGAGTCAGCGTGAGTTATCTAAGCGTCAGTGTGAGTTATCTGAGTGTGAGTTATCTGAGTCAGTGTGAGTTATGAGTGTCAATGTGAGTTATCTGAGGGTTAGTGTGAGTTATCTGAGTGTCAGTGTGAGTTATCTGAGTGTCACTGTGAGTTATCTGAGTGTCAGTGTGAGTTATCTGAGCGTCAGTGTGAGTTATCTGAGTGTCAGTGTGAGATATCTGAGCGTCAGTGTGAGTTATCTGAGTGACATTATGAGATATCTGAGTGTCAGCGTAAGTTATCTGATTGTCTGTGAGTTATCTGAGTGACAGTGGGAGTTATCTAAGTGTCAGTGTGAGTTATCTGAGTGTCTGTGTGAGTTATCTGAGCGTCAGTGTAGTCATCTAAGCGTCAGTGTGAGTTATCTAAGCGTCAGTGTGAGTTATCTGAGAGTTAGTGTGAGTTATCTGAGAGTCAGTGTGAGTTATCTGAGTGTCAGTGTGAGTTATCTGAGTGTCAGTGTGAGATATCTGAGTTTCAGTGTGAGTTATCTGAGTATCAGTGTGAGTTACCTGAGTGTCAGTGTGAGTTATCTGAGAGTCAGTGTGAGTTATCTGAGTGTCAGTATGAGTTATTCGAGTGTCAGTGTGAGTTATCTGAGTGTCAGTGTGAGTTATCTGAGTGTCAGTGTGAGTTATCTGAGTGTCAGTGTGAGTTATCTGAGTGTCAGTGTGAGATTTCTGAGCGTCAGTGTGAGTTATCTGAGTGTCATTGTGAGATATCTGAGTATCAGCGTAAGTTATCTGAGTGTCAGCGTAAGTTATCTGAGTGACAGTGTGAGTTATCTAAGTGTCAGTGTGAGTTATCTTAGTGCCAGTGTGAGTGTTCTGAGTGTCTGTGTGAGTTATCTGAGTGTCAGTGTGAGTTATCTAAGTGTCAGTGTGAGTTATCTTTGTTTAGTGTGAGTTATCTTTGTTTAGTGTGAATTATAGTGAGTTTGATGGAGAAAGTGTTGGATTGTCTGGATTAGTGTGAGTGTAGTTTAGCGTGGCGTAAAGTGAATGTTGGTTTGCATACGCCAGTGCAGCTTAGCGTGAATTAGTGTAAGTTTAACAGTAAGATGGTGTGGCTTAACAGTCTGTTAGTGTGGCTTAACAGAAATGTATTGTGGGTTAACAGTGAGTTAGTGTGGGTTAACAGTGAGTTAATATGTTAACAGAGAATTAGTGTGGGTTAACAGTGAGGTGGTGTGGGTTAACAGTGAATGAGTGTGGGTTAAGAGAGAGTTGGTGTGGATTAACAGTGAGTTAATGTGGGTTAACAGTGAGTTAGTGTGTGTTAACAGTGAGTTAGTGTGGGTTAACAGTGAATTAGTGTGGGTTAACAGTGCGTTAGTGTAGGTTCACAGTGAGTTAATGTGGGTTAACAGTGAGCTAGTGTGGTTAACAGTGAGTTAGTGTGGGTTAACAGTGAGTTAGTGTGAGTTAGTGTGAGTTAGTGTGGGTTAACAGTGAGTTAGTGTGGTTAAAAGTGAGTTGGTGTGGGTCAACAGTGAGTTAGTGTGGGTTAACAGTCGGTTAGTGTGGGTTAAAAGTGAGTTAGTGTGGGTAACAGTGAGTTAGTTTGGTTAAAAGTGAGTTGGTGTGGGTTAACAGTGAGTTAGTGTGGGTTAACAGTGAGTTAGTGTGTTAATAGTGAATTAGTGAGGGTTAACAGTGAGTTAGTGTGGGTTAACAGTGAGTTAGTGTGGGTTAACAGTGAGTGAGTGTGGGTTAACAGTGAGTTAGCGAGGACATAATGTAGTGTAGGGTGGGTTAGTGTGGGCTAACAGTGGGTTAATGTGGACATGATATTGTAGAGTGACTGTGGGTGGGCTAGTGTGGGTTAACAGTGGATTAGTGTTGGTTAACAGTGGATCAGTGTGGGCTTAATATAGTGTAGGGTGACTGAGGGTGGGTTAGTGTTGGTTAACAGTGGGTTAGTGTAGATATAAGAGTGTAGGGTGACTGAGGGTGGGTTATTGTTGGTTAACAGGGGGTTAGTGTGGGTTAACAGTAGGTTAGTGTGGACATAATAATGTAGGGTGACTGAGGGTGGGTTAGTGTGGGTTAATAGTGGGTTAGTGTAGACATAATAATGTAGGGTGACTGAGGGTGGGTTAGTGTGGGTTAGCGCGGTGTAGAATGACCAAACAGTAGTGTTGTATAGCATCATTACACATAAAGTGATCATCAACTCACCGGTAGATAATCTTCCATGATCGGTACATCGCTCCTGCCGTCGCCTGAACCCGACCCAAAATACTGAAAAAAGCAGAAGCGAGCAGTGAAACATACACACAGACAAACACAACAGAAGCAGGAACAACATAACGAACACATTTAAAACAAAACATAACAGCGCCATGCTTTTTTCCCTTTACATTAAAAGGAGTGTGTGTGTGTGTGTGTGTGTGTGTGTGTGTGTGTGTGTGTGTGTGTGCAGGAGCGCTCTTACAACACATAAATAAATAAGCCATCACCAGCAGCCAATAAGAAATATCATCACAAAACTCCCACATTAATCTGAAGGCATGTAACCCCCCGCCCCACATACACAAATACTACGGTTGGTATCATTTAAATAAAATTATTTGAAACATTGATTTAAATCATGAATTAAATCAACAATTTTGGACACTTTAAGTGACGTAAATGTCAATACTATTAATATTTTCATGTTACAATACATACATTTTTTACTCCTGTTTTAACAAATTTTCTGAAGTATAGCTGTATCTGCTAAAAATTCATTTATATCTGTAAGAGCATGCTTCAAAATACACGTAAATTTTGGTCTTAACGCAGTAGTTTTATTTTAGCTGAATTTGTCCATATCTGAATTAAATACAGTGCTACATAAGAACTTAACTCTAACTGCATTCATTGGTATTTTTATGTAATTTTTTCTCTTGAATTTGATTTCTGTTACACGTGATTTCATGATGACATTTATAACCCTATTAACATTTATGACATGATTTAAATCAATGACATGCTTTCCCCGACCCTCACACACACACACACACACACTGTAATGACCATGGTCGTACACGTCAGTTAACGTAAAATCAGACGATTCATGATATTACGCTCAATAGCCCACAAAACATGTAGCTATGCTTTCTTTATTTAAGTCCCCCATCTGAGGCGTGCGTTTTCTCATCACTTCAGGATGTCTGAGTCCTCCATTTTCTCTCAATCTTAGCGTACACCCGAGACTTCGTTATTCCTTGGTATAATGACACAGAATTTGAAATTGCAACTGTACAGTAGTTGCATATGTCTGATTACAGTTGGAACATCTAAAATCCACTGTGAGTGATGTTGAAAGCTTCATCTGTCTTTATTGTTGGTAAAATTTGTCAAGTAAGTGAGTGTTAATTCTGTCAGTATGAGTGGCATATCCTTATATCGTCCTTGGGGATAGCCATGAGTTTCCAAGTGCTACTGAAATTAGATTATTTTGACGCCCAAACATCAGAGAATCTGATGTTTGTAGTTTAGTTAGTGTCAGTTGTCTATTTAAGAAAGTCATTAATCTCCTGAAAAGATTCTGTCAAACTCAAAATCAACAAGACGAGCTATCAGTGGCGGGCGGGCGGGTCGTGTTGCGTCTCTGTTACAAAGCGTGTTCGGCATTCGGGCCTTCGATGTAGAGCGGCAGAAATTGGACAGTGATTACATAAGTTCGTCAAGATCGTCTTAGTGAGGTGAAAGTGTAAATCGAGGTCGGACTTTTCATGCTAGACACGATTGTATTTTTGAAAACTCAATTTCCACCGAGTTGGAGGTACAGCCAGGGTCACAGGCCTATAACCACACAATCACTGCCACATGACAAAGCTTTTATTTTATTTTATTTTTTAGGGTGTTGTGGTCACGGCTGTGATAAAGGCCAACCAGGGAGTGTAATACTGTGCCTTCAGTTAAATCAGTTCATAGTTGTCATCAGTGAATGCAGAAGAGACTATAATAACTTAAAGTGAATACATATTGGCAATCGAGCTGGTAAGGACAACTGCCAGCCTATTCGTGTCATAGGTGCCACAGAGACTTTAAATTTTATTTTGTTTGTGTGCTTTCCCAAGGACTGAATCTGTGTTTATAATACACCACTCACAGGGAGATACAGTGTACACAGTGATAGTTCATAGTGTCATCAGTGACCGCTGAAGTTGTAAATAACTTAAAGTGAGCGCTCACTAGCAAGCAAGCTGGAAAGGCACCGTGCCAGCTGAAACCAAGTCGTGTCATAGGTGCCACAGAGACTTTAAATTTTATGTTGATTGTGTGCTTTCTCAAGGACTGAAACTGTGCCTACAATACACCATTCACAGGGAGATACAGTGTACGCAGTCGCAGACGACAACTCTATAGGCAACAGAGAGTAGCTAAGTACTTTTTCTCTCTTTATTTTTTTGAAATAGGTGTAGATTTATACACAGTCTGCACCCCCCCCCCCCCCACAACAACAACAACCATGAGTTTGGTATGTGATTACTGCAGGGAGACGTCGGATATGGAGGATACAGGCCTAACTAATGCAACGTTTAGGAAGTTACTAACTGCCGTAAAGCTTGATGGCTGTTGCTGGTATTGCCCTGGCTGCATAGTCAAGGTGAATGAAGCGATTGCAATCCATAAGGGAACGAGTTCTCTAGGGACGAAAATAGATGAAGCAGGAGCCCTGCTGGTTGACAAACTGGAGCAAGTTGAGAAAGAGATCCTTGCTAAGACTGAGGAAGTAGCTAATCGAATGGAGGTGGTTGCTAAGAGGAGTTATGCTGACGTATTAGGAGGGCCACGGGGGGGGGACGGAGAGTAATGCAGAATCAGTACAGGTTCTACAGCAGATTGGGACTCTGAAAAAGTGTGTCGAAGAAATGAAAATTAACGCACCGACTGTTAGGGGAGAGGAGGAACACCAGGAACGGCTCCAGCGCAGGAACAATGTAATAGTTTTTGGAGTCCCAGAGAGCCAGGCAGAGGGAACTGTGAGTAAGGAAACACACGACAAGGTGCTGTTTCAAAATATTTGCACAGAGGTTCTGAAGATTCCAGCAACCCCTCAGGATGTGAGGAGACTGGGACAAAAGCAGGGGGCTAAGCCTCGCCCCCTCAGGATCACACTAGGGAGTGAGGAGGAGAAATGGCAAGTTATCCGGCAGGCAAAAAACTTAGCAAGGAGCGAGGCATTTCGGGATGTATTTATTCACCCAGACCGCACGGTAATGCAGAGGGAACAGCACAAGAAGCTCCTGCTGGACTTGAAGCAGAAGAGGGAGGAGTCGAGGAGGAACGGGGACAGGTGCACATGGGTTATACTCAGGGGGAGGGTAGTGGAAACAAGTGTGCCGACACAGGGCCAGGGGGCAGCAGTGCACCCTCCACCCACTCAACCCCCCACCCGGGAGGCGGCACCAGCTCAGCCTACCGGACAGGAGGGAACGAGCGCCGTGTAAACAATGACATTTTTAACCACACCCTGCAAAATACAGTGTACTTAGCAAATGCTGCAGCTTCTGAGAATGTGGGTGGAGCGGGTTTATTACTAAGAGCAGAGACGTTACCGAGAACAAATTCTGGCTTGAATGTCATGTACACTAATACTGACACGTTCCTTGATAAGAGGGAGGAGTTTGAAACACTACTAAGAGTACACCAACCAGATATTGTAGGAGTTGTAGAACTGTTGTACAAGAACAGGAGAATCGACCCAGAGGAATGTGAGTTCAGTATTGCTGGATATGACTCATTTACGAACCTAACTCAAGAATCCTGCAGGAGGGGTGTGGTTATCTACGCTAGGCAAGACCTTAGAGCCAGCCAGGCGAGGGTACAGGGAGAGGATGTTTTTGAAGAGTCCAAGTGGTGTAAAATTAAATTAAAGGGAGGGGACTTACTTATCGTCGGGTGTATCTACAGATCCCCGAACTGTGGCCCACTAAATCAAAGGAACTTAAGAACCTTAATAAACAATGCGGCGATGCTCAACCCCAGCCACCTCCTTATCATGGGGGACTTTAACTATGGCGACATCGACTGGAGAAACGAGTCAACCCCGAATGACTTGAATAATCCTGCTACTCTTTTTGTAGAAACTCTGAGAGATAATTTTCTGTTCCAACATGTGAGAGACCCGACACATTACAGAGGGGAGCAAACACCCAAGCCACTTGACCTCATCATAACAAACGAGGAGGGTATGGTGGCCAAACTGGAACACCTTGCCCCAGTTGGCACCAGTCACCATACAGTGTTGTCATTCAGATTTAACTGTTACCTAGTTCAAGATAAGGCCAGGCCAAGGTGCAAATATTACAAGGGAAATTACAATGGGATGAGGGAAGAGATGAGGGGTATCAACTGGCCTGACTTATTAAGGTACAAGAACGCAGACACTACGCTGAATATCATAACTAGTAAAATGACCCATTTGATCGATAAATATATACCCAAGACCAAACCCAGTGCTTCTAGGAATACGAGGGGATCCCTACACATGAACCATGCGGCGGTCGACAAAATTAAGAAGAAAACCCAGAAATTCAAGACGTGGGTTGGGTCAAACGATGAGCAAGACAGGAGGATGTATGCAAGAGCCAGAAACCAAGCAAAGATAGAGTGTAGGAGGGCTGAAAAGGAGTTCCAAAGGCTGGTTGCACGCGAGGTCAAGTCAAACCCAAAGGCGTTTTACCGCTATGCAAAGTCGAAATTGAAAACGCGAGTAGGAGTATCAGACCTGAGGCTTGAAGATGGTAGTTACGCAGATTCTGACCAGGATAAAGCTGAGGCATTGAACAGCTTCTTTTCCTCAGTGTTCACAAGAGAGGATGCAACTAACCTTCCTGCGTTTGAGGACAGACGGTTCGACACAGCACTGACCCACATTGTGTTCACAGAAGAGGGTATTAGAAATAAACTGTCCAGGCTAAAGGTCCATAAGAGTCCTGGACCTGACATGGTGCATCCTAGAGTGCTAAGGGAGCTGTGCAACGAGCTTGCAGAGCCCCTGAAGATTCTGTTTTGTAAATGCCTGGATGAACAAATGGTCCCCAGTGAATGGAAAGTGGCTTATGTGAGTCCTATCTTCAAGAAGGGCGATAGGCACTCCACGAACAACTATAGACCGGTGAGCCTGACCAGCATAATATGTAAAGTACTTGAGAGTATTATCAGAGATGCAGCGATGGAACATCTACTACGAAACAACCTTGTAAAAGATTGCCAACACGGTTTTATGCCGGGGCGCTCTTG